GGGTGTCTGGGGGGAGGGGTATACTCGTATATGTATGCATGTGGGGGTCAAAGGAAAACTTGCAGGAATAGGTTCCTTCCACCTGCCAGGTGGGACCTGGAGACCAAATGAAGGTTGTCAGTCTTGGCAGCAAGCACCTTTACCTACCAGGCCATCTTGCCACCTCTTAGTTACTGTATATAACCACAGAATGGAGTCTTTCATGCTTCCCTTACAAAGTCTGGGAAACATGAAATTATCTGCTAAAAATAACAATAAAATTCTAAGCAACAATGTACCATAATTTCCAAGTCTGGGCTGCATAAAAATTTATTTGAAATAACCGTTTCTACCTCAGAAAGACTGGTGTTAACAGTGAAAGAGAACAAAACCCCGCCGTTAAATCGTTCAGATGGGGAGTGTACATTTCAAAAGCATCGCGTAGATGAGCAGACCCCAAACTGTCTTGGCCATTCACGTCTTTTGTATTCTTCTGGTCATCTTTTCCAGATCAGTGTTTGCCGTGGTTTAAATACGGTTTAAGCGGGTGTGTTCAAACCTGGTCTCCAGTGTGGTGACTGAGATGGTAAACGTTTTATGACATGGGACTCATGGGAGATGAGGTCGGGTCATAGATGTGTCATATTTGGAAGCGATTAATGCTGGTTTCATGGAGTCAGTTCTCATGAGAGCAGGATGTTACAAGACCACCCCACACATGGTCCCTTCTGTGACACGGTTTCCTTTTCTGCTTCTTTGCCTTGTTGTGAGGCACCAGGGGCTGATCAGATGAGATCCTTCTTTTCCTTATTTAGTGTCCAGTGCCAGATATTACACTATAGCAACATAAAACAGACTAATGTAATGTTTCATGTTCTTTTGATTCATATGCATTGTACCAATTTTAGTGGAAGTGACTTAATATCATAATTTATCATTTGAATAAGACACATACTGTTTAGTTTTAAGGCTATATAGTTATATAAGGAAGTCAGAGTGAATCAAAGTGAGATGAGGAGGTATGCTTAAGAGGAATTTGACAGATAAACAGCCCTTAATGGGCTTGGCTTTTCATAGGGATTTGTAAGTGGGGATAAGGATGACTCTGGTATATTCTTAGTGTCTAATGCAGTAGTGTTCAAATGCCATTTCCTGAGATCAATATGCTAGCATTCATAACAGTTCTTCCTTCCTCCCACTTCCGGAGCACTTCCCAAAGTAGTCCCCCATCCACGTCTCCGGCTTAGTGGGATTGACCATATTCTGGGCATGTACAAGTGCCTAACCCTGACAAATCAGAGTGTCTCGAGTCCTCCACATATACACTAGTTCAGGGACTGGCACTTGAGCCAGCCATGTGCTCAACAGAGTATTGGGACTTCTGTCGAGGTAATTAGCAAACAAGGCTCAATTTGTGTCTGTGATTTTGAACCACGAAGCAACCAATGATAAAAACAAGATGGACAGCAGACCTGAGAATGGAAAACACCCCTGTCCTGATGGTGGTATTTCATTGTCTGCATCTATCTGAAACATTTGGTTCCCTTGGAATCTACAGTTTGGGGATCAGGGAGATGGCTGAGTGGATCTTTCCTGTCAAGACTGATGAACAGTCTAAGTTTGATCCCTGGAACCCAAATGATGGAAGGAGAAAACCGACTCTTACATTGTCCTCTGTTCTCCACACATTCCCCACGGCAGACACATCCTCATACGCACATTCGTGCACTCAAAAGACAAAATAGAATGAAACATTTTAAAAAGAATTTCCAATTTTAGGATTTAATAAACTCTCTAAATTCGCTGGACCAGTTTTAAGGTGGTTTTGCGTTAAGGTTTGAATCTGAAATTGTCCCCCCCCACACACACACACTCACTCTCACACACATTCACACACTCTCACATACTTACACACTCTGTTATACACACTCACTCTCCTCTCGTACACAGACACTCTCTCATACACCACATACACTCACACACACACTTCTCTCACACATCATACTTCTTTCTCACATACTAACACACATACACGCATACAAACTGTCTGTCTGTCTCTCTCTCTTTCTCTCTCTCTCTCTCTCTCACACACACACACACACACACTGTCTCTCATACACACACACATACACACACTCTGTCTGTCTGTCTCTGTCTCTCTCTCACACACACATACACTGTCTCTCTTACACACATACACACTGTCTCTCTCACACGCACACTGTCTATCTGTCTGTCTGTCTCTCTGTCTGTCTCTCTCTCTGTCACACACACACACACACACACACACACACACACACACACACACACACACATGCTCAGCTGTCAGTGCTGTTGGAGATTGTGGATGGGAAGGAGGTAGCGCCTAGCTAGAGGAAGTGGGGCACTAGGAGAGGATCTTGGGATTTCATACCCACTCTGGTTCCACCCTGTGGCTGTCTGCTTCTGGTCAGCTACCTCCGTGTGACCAGCTGGTTCTCACCCCTGCTGGTACGGGCTGACCTCCTGCCACCATGCCTTTCCCACCATTATGGGCTGTGTCCCCTGACACCGTGAGACAAAAATACATCTTTCTTTCACTGATGTGTTTCTGTCAGGCATTTTTTTTTTCAGAGCAGCCAGAAAAGTTAGTGAATACAGTTTCTGTCACCAGCAACCAAAGCACTGAGTACACCCCCTAGCTCACCCAACCCACGAGCACTCACATAGTTCATCTCCAAACAGAACATCTACTGACTCCATCTCTGTTCTTACATCATAGTCACAGACCCTCTGGCTAAAGTCAGCTGGAACACCCTTGACCTTGGGCCGAGGGGACTCACTTGTAGCGCAAATTCTAATTGGTTTCAATAATGAAAACCTGGAGTCAGATATTGAAGGTGAAAGCTGAAAGATCAGAGAAGCAGAGCAGCAGCCACTAGAAAGACTTCTTACCTCTAGGAATCCTCAGACTGAAAGGGGCTGAGCTCCTGTCTCCTCCTGCCTTATCACTTCCTCTCCCTGCCAAGCCATATCACTTCCTGTTTCCTCCTCCCAAGTGCTGGGATTAAAGGTGTGTGCCACCACTGCCTGGCCTCTAGTGGCTAGCTCTGCACTCTGATCTCCAGGCAAGCTTTGATTGTTAGAGCACAAACAAAATATCACTTCATTCACTCTTCTTTGTTTCAATCCCCACCAGTTTAATTTCTAAAGTTGTTTGTAGCCCTTAAATGAATCTAAACAGCAACTGGTAGAGGCCTCCAAAGTACTCCTTTTTGCTTATTATATATAATTCCCTTATTATTTGAGTAAGCAGAAGAAAAATACCTATCCCAAGAGACAGCTTGTATCACAGTATGCCTTCTGTTTATCACTAATAAAATAGGGACTCATTTCATTTGGATCATTTTGACCTGTTTTTATTCTTTTTTGGGGGGACAGGATTTCATTACACATTCCAGGTTGATCTGGAACTCAGTATGTATCCTTCTAATCCAGGCTTAGAGCTAAAGATCTTGCCTCAGCCACCCCGGTGCTGGAACTACAGTCTGTGCCGACGTATCCGCAGCCTTATCTCAGTGAATGTGAGGGGTGCAAACTGCCTCTCTTCCACAAGTCACGCCACCCACAGAGGAAGGATCCTGTTTAAATGAGCTTCAGAACTCTGGCCAGATCCAAGTGGTCGATAACCAGGCCTGCTCTGCAAAGTACTGCCTGCTAGGATCCTGGGTAAAACGTGACTGAGCAAGGAGCCCAACATTACCCCGACAATTTTATCCCGATGACCCGCTGGGATGAAGAGAGAATGCTACTTATTGGAAATCAAGGAGCCCCTGCCTGACAGGCCACAACCTCCTGCTGACATGCGTAAGCTTCTGTCTCCTGAAGTCAAAGCCCTCTCTCCCAGACCCAGAGCCTTTCCCCAGAGCATCACCATCAAAGGGAACAAGAAAAGAATTACCATCAAAAGCACGCAACTGCAGTCTAGAAGAGTCCATGGGGACAATGTCTGCACTCTGATCATCGCCAGCCCACAGCAGTCGGCAAGGTCCCACTGACACTGAGCTCTTATCTGTTTCCCTCTTTCTCCTGAGCCCCTCCTCCGTCTCCTTCTAAAATACCTAATCAAAATGAGCTCTTTCACCTGCTGCAAAGCATTTTGAAGCCACGTCTTGATTTTGAACCACTGCACAACATGTTTTACAGGACAGGGACTCCCATGAGGCATCGTAAAATCATAACTACCCAAGCAAAGGTAGAGTGGGCTCAGGATCAGCAGAACTCAGGTCAGAGTTCAGGTCAGGAAGCTACAGCGACAAGGCTGGCCGTCAGGAGCAGTTTGCGCTGCTGGAGCGGCACAGGCTTCCGCTGGCTTCCGCACCAGGTGGCCTCAAGCCTGAGACAAGAACAGTCTGGGCTCCATAGCAAGCTTGATGCTCGTATGTAGTGAGACCGTGCCTAAAAATTAAAAACCAGAAGACATGAAACTGTATCGAATCAAACCCCAAGACATGAGACCCATCAATTTCTGAAAGTCAAACGAAAATAGAAACACCCTAGCCTACCAAGGAGATGTGAGGATGCTTCTTTTCTTCTTAATGGCAGATTTTAAATAAATAAATAAATAAATATGGGCATGAGTGTGTGTGTGTGTGTGTGTGTGTGTGTGCCATAGTTCACATGTTGGTCAACTTTTAGAATTCAAAGGTTCTCAGCTTCCACTGTGGATTCCAGGGATCAAACTCAGGTAGTCAGGTCTGTACCACACACACCCTTACCCACCGAGCCATCTTGCTAGCCCAATGGACCTTTAGTAAATCTCTCCTCTTGCAGAAGTCAGGGCCCTAACTGTGGCTTCTGTGCATGAGGAGTTGCACTCCTTGCTTGGCATCCTGACTTTATGGGAACATCAGCTGTCATCACAGACTGAAGAAGCTCCTGAGGGAGAGAGCTCGGCATGGGTTGGGCAGCCCTGCCACTGGGAAGTGACTCTGTTGCTCCAGCCACCAAGGTCTAGCTCATACTAGTGAAGAACTGTGATAGACACGGGACCCAGCCAAGCCCTGGCCTTTCTTATGGAACCTGGGCTACAGAGCCTCTCTGTACTATGCATCTGAACTCCCTGGTGGGGAAATTCTAAACCAAGGAGCTGAAGAAGAAAATGCCCCTGAGAGAGCGACCAGTTCCAGGTGTGTTTTCTCACAACTTCAGTTGTGAGGAAAAACACCTGAAACAATCGACTTACAGAGGGAAGGTTGGGAGCTGGAGAGATGGCTTGAGGCCAAGAACCCTGCTGCTCTTGCAGAGGCCCCAGGCTTGGTTTCAGCACCCATGTGAGCTTGAAATTATTCCTAACTCAAGTTCTGGGAGATATGACACCCACTTCTGAACTCCATGTGCTGGGGGATGTCTTTCCGTATGCTGTGAATATGCGTTGTTCCCATTGGTTAATAAATAAGCTGCTTTGGCCTATGGCAAGGCAGCTTAGAGGCAGGCAGGAAATCCAAGGAGAGAGACAGGAAAGAGAAAGGCGGGGACTAGAGAGACGCCAGCCTGCTGCTCAAGGAGCAAGGCGGCAGCAGACTGGTTAGGCCATGGAGCACGTGGTAAAACATAGATTAATAAAAATGGGTTAATTTAAGACATAAGAGCTAGGTAGTAAGTGTAGCTGGAGAGTTTTCTCTCTGGGTCTGCCAAGCCCTGGCAGTCTGACAGCCCACTTATAAAACAAACACACAGACACTTATATTATTTAAACTGTTAGGTCTAATGGCTCAAGCTTCTAGCTATCTAGTTTTTACATCTTAAATTAACCCGTTTCTATAAATCTGTACCTTGCCACGTGGCTCATGGCTTACCGGCATCTTCACATGCTGCTTGTCATGGCGGCTCCTCCTTCCTGATCTCTCAATTCCCCTCTCTGTTAGTCCCGCCTATACTTCCTGCCTGGCCACTGGCCAATCAGTGTTTTATTTATTGACCAATCAGAGTACATACAGACCATCCCACAGCAAGTAAGAGGCCTGCCATAGGCCATACAGTTTGTAAATAATACTAAGCCTCTGAGTGGTTATTTTATAAGCATCTGCAGGGCCTCAGGGCTGGGCGGGACCAGAGAAACCTTCCGTCTCCATCCATGGGCCTGCAGCCAAAACACTCATAAAATAAATCTTAAAAAATAAAAGGAAGGTTTATTTTGGCTCACAAATTCAGAAGATTTGGTCCATAGGTCCCTTGTCCCACTGCTCTTGGGATTGTGGTGACACAGGAAGTTATGGCAGAGTCTTCTGCTCCATTCATGGCCACCAGGAAGCAAAAAGAGGAAGATGACAAAGCAAGGTCCCTCCACTCCCTTCAGGGCCCTGAATTCCTCCCACAAGTCCCCACACCCTAAAGGTTCCACCTCCTCCTGACGGCAGGAAGCTGGGGGCCGACTCTTCACCAGATGGGCTTTTGGGGGGCACTCCAAATCCAAAATGCAGCACTCGGTAGGATTATGAGTTTCTGGAAAGTGAGGGAGGGTGGATAAAAGTGATGCTGTCCCAGAGACCAGTTCCCCTAAGGGCCAGAAGCGTGGGTAGGAATCTCAGGGTACACAGGAAAGGGGCCTTGCAGAGGGCTCCTTTGTAAGGTGATTTTCCTCTAGACAATGGGAAAAGATTTTTTTGTTTCTTTGAGACAGGGTCTCTCTGTGTAGCCCTGGCTGTCCTGGAACTCACTCTGTAGACCAGGCTGGTCTCAAACTCGGAGATCTGCCTGCCTCCCAAGTGCTGGGACTAAAAGTGTGTGCTACCAACACCTGGCTAGAAAGAGATTCTTTGCCCAGTCCACAACTGCTGAATCGGACTTTTTTCAGTCCAGAGACCAACCACAAATTTTTAGAACCACACATTTGTGAGTCCTGATTGAATGTAATTCCTTTTTTTTTTTTTTTGGTTTTTCGAGACAGGGTTTCTCTGTGTAGCTTTGCACCTTTCCTGGAGCTCACTTGGTAGCCCAGGCTGGCCTCGAACTCACAGAGATCCGCCTGGCTCTGCCTCCCGAGTGCTGGGATTAAAGGCGTGTGCCACCACCGCCCGGCTTGAATGTAATTCCTAAGCCACCTTTTGCATGTCCATCTTCCCCTTCATGGGAAGGGCAGGAAAGAGTTCAACAGATCTGCATGTCTACCAAGCAAACTGGAAAAGATGCTGTGTGCTCTAGGATACTAAGCCTAGTGGTTAATCCAGGAACTCCCATACTTCTTTTGAATGGAAGAAATCAACGGTGAAATGTTCCTATCAATCTGGCACCATCTAAGGTTTTGAGCATCCAGCCTATGTTTCAAAACCTTGGGAAGCTAGAGACCTCTCTACTACAACCTTCTCCCTGGCTTTTGAACCAGCTCCATGTTTACTTGTGGAGTTGATTCCATGGTGGCCTGATGTGAGGTTCTTCCCACTCTGCATCAAAACACCATCATTATGAGCTGTGGAGTTGAAATGGAGGGGCAGAGAGGAGCAGAGAGATGGGCACTCCATACCTTTACCTTTCTAAGTGGTGTATCCCAGAAGAAGCTTTAGCCCCAACCTGAGCCTCATCTAATGCAGTTATGGGTTGAATCGGGTTTTCCCCAAATTCATCTGTTGAAATCTCAACTTCCTATAAGTCAAAATATGGCTTTCTTGGCACCAAATCTTTAAACAGTGATTAAGATAAAATGAAGCTGTTAGGGTGGATCCTCATCTGAGTGGTGTTGTTACAGGAAGTGCAGACGCCTAAAGAGACCAGCAATGCATGGGTGCAAAGGAACCAACCACGTGACAAGAAGGCAAAGGGAGGAGGTTACTTCAGAAATGGAGTCTTTGGACACTTTGTGGAATTGTGAGGAATAAATATCTGATAGTCAAGGTCACCCACTTGTCTAGGCAGACAAATGAACTCAAATTTGCACATTTATTTGTACTTCACCACACCCATGATCGGAAGGCTTGTTGCAATCTCATCTCCAGCAGCCCATGAGTTGGCTGCTTCCCTACAAGCTTCTTTCAAAATCTTGCTCATAGATCCCTATGCATTCCCTGCTAATGGAAAATCCTCACATGGGTTACAAACTTGTCCTTGCGTCAGTGGACACTGACTGAGTAGCTTTTGCCTACTTTTGGATGAGACTGTTCGATCTTGTGTGTTAGTTTGTAGGAGTAGTGCTACTGTTTTGCTCATTTGGCAAATGTTCAGGTAATTTTGTTTTATTTAATCATGGAGCATTTACGTTTGTATATGTTCGAACTCCATTTCTTTTATGGCATTTGTGATTAAAAAGTCACTTGTCCCACCACCAGTCAGATGGTTCACAGGGGTTTTCCCCTGTTTTTATAATTCCATAATTTAGTTGTATTCTTAATCTGACCTGTGTTTATTTTGATGGTATGCTAGTGGGATGTAGCCTGGTTTTTCAAATAGCGAACTTTCATTACACACTATTCTGAGAGGAAATCCACTCAACAGTCCATTCAGTGAAAACACTCCATTTTCTAGGTTATTGCATGCCAGGATCTGACTATTGGTTGTTTCATTTCATTGTTTATTTTTCTTCGTCATTGTCTCGTAATTGCTATAACAATTATATATTACGCTACTTAACAGGGCAGATTTCCTTTCCATCCTTTGCATTTAAGACTCTCCCTATGTCTATTCCACTCAGTGAATCTTAGTAATTTGTTATATTCTCCCAAATATACCATTGAGATATCAGTTAAAATTATGTTGTCTATCATATCTTTCTAATGAGAAAAACAGTCACTTTATTCAAACCTCTTTATTATATACCTCTCAAGGACTATTGCTAGGCATTTTAAAGCGTTACTTTTGACAGTGATGCCCATTTTCCATACTGATTTTTTTTTCCAAGACAGGGTTTCTCTGTGTAGCTTTGGTACCTTTCCTGGAACATCACTCTGTAGCCCAGGCTGGCCTCAAACTCACAGAGATCCACCTGCCTCTGCCTCCCAAGTGCTGGGATTAAAGGCGAGCACCACCACTGCCCCCCCCCCGATTTTTAATTATTGAATCACATGAAAGCTATTGATTCTGGAATATTATTCTAAGTATTGTCACTTGGTGGATTTTCTTATTGATCCTAACAGGATCTCCTAGCCCTTCCTTCTTTCCTTGCATTTTATTGCATTTTTGAGTCACAGTCTCACTACATAGCCCTGGGTGGCCTGGGACTCACTATGTAGACCAGGATGGCCTCAAATTCACAGATCCACCTGCCTCTTCCTCTGAGTGCTGAGATTAAAGCATGTGCTACCATGACTAGCCTTCCATTATTTTGTAAGGCTATAGTTAGATTATCATCGTGTATAGTCAATATGATTATGTAGAATCCTTATTGTAAGTGCTTCCATGAGAGATTAAGAACTATTTCTTCACTTACTTTGTTTAAGTTCATGCTGTTTCCCAGCAACACAGATGTCCAGCTTTCTGTAAGAGAACGTAACTTGATAGGCTGCTCTCCCATTGCCATGAATGGCATTAAAAGTGGGAAATCTGACAGGCCTAAGTCAATAGCAGAGCTTTCATCTGTGGTTCAAGCCAGGCCATCACTGTGAGAGAGCCATGCCACTGCTTTGCATTGTCTTGGCCCTAAAGAATTTGCCTTCTTGCCTTGGCTTCCATTAAGACATTCTTAAACCATGGTCTATATCTATGGTCTTGAATCTACAGTCACACCTGTTAAGGGTCTTTTCAGGGTATTGCCTATGACAGCACAGTAACTTTGTTAGACTTTTTTATTGCCATTACCACATTCCAAAGCCTGTTTATTTCAGGCGATGGCATCTGGGGATTGAGTTTCCCTTTTCTCTCCCATTGCTGAAGAAACTCAGAACAAAAGTTGCTGCTCTCGCAGAGCGATGATTTATGCCCTCAGAGCTGACACAGTATTCCTTGCGTGGTTCTAATTCCTCTTCCCTGCTTTCTGTCTCATCATTAATGCTTTTGTAGGTCATTCATTCTGAGTCACTTTTGGAAAGAAGGCCAAGCGTATAGGGTATTTTCTTTGCTGCTGTCACGTGATTGATGTCACTGTTGCAAAGGAGCATGTGGCAGGTGTCTCTAAGGAGGGTCAGTGGTGCCCAGTGGAAGGTGGTAAGGGCCTGTCCTACTCTGACTTACCAAGGAGATTGTCACACAAGGATCTGGAGCAAGGGCTAGAGGGTGCGCATCCTTCCCCAATGAGGAAACCTACAATCAGCCCCTGAAACTAGCTTCGCTTCTTGAATCCATGTAAACTTTGGATTGCCACATTTTAAAAAAGGAAAGCTGATTTTTTTAAAAATGTTTACTAATACTTCATATTTTAAAAATACTTTGAATCACCGGGTGGTGGTGACGCATGCCTTTAATCCCAGCTCTTGAGAGGCAGAGGCAGGTAGATCTCTGTGAGTTCAAGGACAGCCTGGTCTACAGAGCGAGTTCCAGGACAGCCAAGGCTACACTGAGAAACCCTGTCTCAAAAAACAAACAAACAAACAAAAATACTTTGAATCAATAGAAAAGAGGATGGGGGTTGCCAGAGTGGTACAACAGGAAATGAGAATTGGTCAATGGTGCAAAGACTCGTTTATTTGGGGTAAATTCGAGAATTCTGCTATACAATCTAGTGCCTCAAGCTAATGTTATGGCATTGGCCACTTCAAATTTATTGAGGGTAGGCCTCCTGTCAAATGTTCTTGTTGCAACAATAACATCAGCAACAACAAGAATCATTAGAGCAAAGGGACACAAAGTAACTTCTGGAAGGTTACAGGCACCACAACCATCTAGTTGTCTTGTAAGGTAGGGCCAGATCTGGATATCAACTAAACCTCCACAGGCTGCTTAAAAGATAGCAAGACCTCTGAACCCAGTTACCACCCAGTCCAGACCTGGGTCTTTGGTCTTTGGTCTCTGAGACACCTGAGAATAGAAATCGAGAACCCAGTTAGCAAGAGACCATTTAAGTCCTTTTCCGCCAAAGCAGTGATGTCATAATGGCAACAATGATTACCCAGACTTAAGCCTCTGAGAAGCCTGGTTTAGAATTCTGTCTTAGATTTTGTGAGCACAGATTAGTAAAACGATCCCTACAAACCGGAAATAGCCTTGGTGTGTGAATCTCTGTAGCATTTCTAGTACAAAAGAATAGCAAAGACATGTGACTCAGTTCAACACTTTGTTTCCAGAAGTTTCTTATCAAAACCCCTAAAAAGACATGTGAGCAGCAGAAAATACATGGGACAAGGACTTTCTACTGCCCTTCAGGTGTGTACTTCTACAGAATGATCACCTGATTTCCAGTGTTGCTGTAAATAATCAAAGATCAAAACTTTCAAATGTGAATTTAAAAAAAAAAAAGATTGAAAAATAAGATAGCAGGACTTTCTATCTGATTCTACCCAAGGAATTTTTTTTTCTTTTTTTTTTTTTTGCCAAGAAAAAACACGGCCATTCTTTGCTTTGATTCTTTCAGATAAAAGGTGGGCTTCCATGTTTCTGATAAACAAACAGA